ATTCTCATACTAGGGGAATTCTAGGTATTTTTTTTTATTATTGTCCTTATACAACTTAAGAACTTAAAACTCATATATGATTAAAATTTGGATTATTAGCTATATTTTCATGCCACATTCATTCATATATCATGATAAGAAAGTAACTTAATTAAATTTTGAATGCAACTAATTAAAACCTTGTGACATGAGCAGAAAAGTATGCCCATAGTGAAAGTGTTAATACCATATTGTGCAAAGACTAACCAGTGAAGGTTCCCCACAGTCCACCACTCCAGTGGCTAGAAACTGATAAGTAGAAAGGGTCTTCTGTGCTCCGTTTATAGATGAGGAAGGGCAAATTTACAATGCGGAGACCCAGAGAAGTGCCTGGATCTCCATCTGACCACCAACCAGAAAAATCTTTTAGTGGAGACAGTGCAAAGGGTGACTGCAAAACCTTATTTTTAAAAGGAGGCACTAACTTCCCTGGTGCCAGTTTTTTCCAATATAGTCTATGAAATTGGTAAACTCTAGATTTTACAATTGAATAAATTTGTATACCATGAGGATACCTTAAGTGATTTTGCAAGACATTCCACCTTGCAATGGGTACTGATAGAGCAAGTGTGAATAAGCTGAACACTTTCCATTACTGTGCATGGAGGTTGTGTCGCCCTCCTATTGATGAAGGGTTATCGTTGTATGATGATGTTATCATGCATCATCACAGTTCACATTACACACAATAATTTAGGTGGAAGTTAGCTCAAGGCTTGTGGTATGCAAACCTCATAGGCAGACATGTGAGGGAAAGAGCATTTCTGTGTAGGGAGGTGAGTTATCATCTCAGAATTTTCTGTTTTGATATTGTATGAACTATTTTTGTCTGCAGATATTTTGTATAATTTGAATAATAACACGTTTGTTGCTGGTTAAGTCATCAACCAGTTAATGACGAGGACATCTGCTTGGTTAACATGCGAGAGTACGTTTAATGCAGAAATACATGCAATCTAAAAATGCAAGCAAATCATATAACACAGCATACGGCTAACATGAAATATTGTAGAAGTACACATACAGCACAGATAAGGACACCAAACAAACATGAGAGACTGAGGCTTAAAATGACAAAATAACTTTCTCTTTCTTCAATTTTGCTTAATGTTCACACAGGGTTGCAAGTAAATATTTATTCCTGGTTGTACACATTTCCTGTCAAGAATAAATATTTATTTGCAACCCTGTGTGAACATTAAGGAAAATTGAAGAAATAGAAAGTTATTTTGTCATTTTAAGCCTCAGTCTCTCATGTTTGTTTGGTTACCCTTTTGATGGAACATAAATTATACGGTGGTCTAAAATTATTTTTCCTATTTTAAAATTTAATAATTAAATAACTCAGAAAATACAACCATGCAGTTTTAACATTTTCTAGCCCGATGCAAACAATTTTATTGACATGTCAGTAGGCTTCAACACGTGCACCATTAGTGGCTCTCAGCACATTGAACAGATATTTGGTTTCAGTTCATGTTTGCTGCAATGTGTCTACAGTTACAGTGGAAATGGTGTCCATTATCCAAGTCTTTAGCACTGCAATGTTTGCTAAAGGTATATGATACACGATATCCTTAACTTACCCCCATATTTCTTTCCTGTATTGGCATCTATAAAATTGCTGCACCACAATAACTGACTTGGTCTCTGCAAACCAAATGACACATTGAGCCTTTTCTTTCCCAGTTGCCATTTTACAGGTTAACACTACCCATTGGAGTGAAAAACATATGACAATAAAAACTGTTTGAGTTGGGCCACAAAACTGCATGGTTGTATTTCCATAGTTCTTTAATTATTACATTATAAAATAAGAAATAATTTTTGGACCACCCTGTATAATTTTACTAAATATTTTTCAACATACCATTTTTTTTTATTTAAGATAAATTACAATTTTCTTAATTTGTTGTTTTTCTGTATATAAAAGCTGTGTTATCAAAAGCAAGTTGAAAAGAAAAGTAACAGTCAAAATTATTTTGAAATGCAGAGGTAAAAATATCATAATATGACACTATACCTTATCATAACTGGCAATGAAAATTGTCTGACTATTACTTGTAGCCCCATTCACAGAGACTAACCAAACTAGTACCCACAACACTTACCTGGCCATCTGATCCACTAGAATTATCATCCATCATCATTAGACTCACCCGAACTGCATCACTAATGGATGACAGTGAACGAGTTGGTGTTTCAGTTTTTACCTGGACAGTTCCTGCAGTAGTTGGAAGGGGCTTATTCAATGCTGCTGAAATCTTTAACTGAGTAGTGCACTCCACTGAAATCTCTTCGGATTGAATACCATTTACAGTTGCTGCAGAAAAATGAATATTTACGCTTCCTTCCCGAGAGCATGGGGTTGAGGTAAACTGAGATTCTTTTGCTGAATGACTTCCCAGAGTCCTCTTCACTAAGCCAGTAGAACGTTCACTAAATGTAAAAGTCCCACTAACAATATGAGATTTTTTACTATGTGCCTTTGGCTTTGAAATAAGTTTTGGATGCTTCCCACTTTCTCCTTTTGGTTTTAATTTCTTCAGAGTTGAACATTTTATGGTCTTACCTGGAACACTTGTTGTCTGGACTGTAACAAATGACAAGGATTTAGAATCATTCATATGTTTACGCTGACCACTAGACACAGATTTAGCCACAGCAGGCAACCCAACAAGTACAGTAGAATTAGTTGACGAAAGGTTGCTGACTCCTGTTTCTGAAATTCTAACAGACATTTTTTGATACGAGTCACTTTCTGTTACCATAGGCATTGTGGTTAGTGTCTGGGTGTCCTTCTTTATCCCTAAAATTTTTGAACATGTGGTAGTAGTGGTTACAGCAGTAACAAAAATAGATTTTGGGTTTCCAGAACTTTTAATTACAATATATTGATTTGAACTATCAGACTGACTGTTTTCTTCAGCTTGCAGATTTGATCTCTGTGATGCAGGATTTCGAACCAACTGTGTACTGGAGACTGAACTCAAAACCTCAGACTTACCAGCAATCATTGTGGTAAATGGTAAATTTCCTTCACCAGCATGAATATACACAGATTCAGATGTAATGGTAACTCCAGTTGTGGAAACTAGACCCATGATCTTTTGGTTACTTCTCACATTCACCAAAGAATTTACAACTTGGGACTGTTCTGAGGTAATGGTAGTAGCTTTCAAATCACTATTAACAGCTTGAATACAAACAGGGACACTGCTAAGATTCATTCTAGATTCAGATGCAACAATTGTTTTCTGACTGCTCCCAACACCTAATTTCTTATGACCCAAGTTTTTACAGTATTCTAGAGATACTGGACGATTCCTTACTGGTGACCAAATGCATTTCCTCTTCTGATCTTTTTGATATCCTAAATTTTGGCACAAGTTTTCTTTGGTAGAAACCTTGTTTTCAGGATTTGTAGGAGCACCTTTGACAATGATAACACTTGGTATAACAACAGTTGTAGGATTGCCAGATTCTGAAGACATTATTGCTGAATTTTGTGTACAAAAAGTTTCTTTTGACAAATCATTGTTGTTGTTTAGATTGTTTACTGGTATAACTACTCTTCCTGTTAGCACTCTTGCACCACTATTATGGCCTCCACCACCATCTCTCCAACCAGGTAAAGTTAGAGTTGCCACAGCAGGTACATGTTGGCTGATCTCTAACAGTTGCTGATGTGATATGTTCAGCTTTTCTGCTGCACTCACTGAAAATAAAATAGTTGCATCAGCTTGTGGTTCTAACTTATGGGATGGACACTCTTGGTTTAGAGTTTTATTGTTCAAAACAGGGGATGATGTAAAGGTAGAGGTTGGCTTCTGTGTCATGCTTTTGTTGCTTACAATGATAGGGACTCTTATGGTTGACAATGGTGCAATGGAAGGTGAAATACAAGATGGAGATGTTGAAACAATGGTAGAGTCAGTTTTTTCAGTACTGTGCAAGATGGGAATAGTGCTTGGCCTTGTTTTGCACACTATGGTAGTTACTGTGGAAAGACAATCCTTTGATGCAGCTATTCCTCGAAAACAATACGAGTCTCTTAGTTTTTTGCATAAAACTGGCTGGTTTAGGGGGTAAGACACTTCACACTGTTTTCCATTTGGAAGTCTATCTTCCGTTCTTGAAGATCTTCTAGCTGGGGATAAAGTAAGAGGTTTCTTTGCAAGATCAGAAGGTGCAAAAATTTGTTTTGGAGGTGTTGGAGTAAATGTGGTAAAAGCACATTTTGTGTTTATTCCAATTAAACACCTTGGCTTGCTTGACAAATTGGGAGTTTCAAAAGAATCTAAATTCTTATGAGTAAATGACTTAATGCTATTTTTAGAGATTTTTTTCACAATCTTTTTTCCTTGTTTCTTCTCTTTGACCTTTCTAAAGCTTATTTGTTTGTTTTCTACAGGTTTTTGTTTATGAGTCCTCTCTGCAAATCTGGATTTCTTTAGTTTTTGAATTCTTGCCCTCTTCCTTCTTCTCTTTTCAATCTGAAGAAGCTGCTGGACAATTTTTTCTGTTTCAGAATTGCCAATGACTCCTGAAGAAAGCAGGTGAGACAGAAGTGCAATGTTGGAATTTTGCTCATGAACTAAACCACTTGATGCTGAAGTAAGAATCTGTTTTTTTTTCATGGAAGTAATCACATTACAATTCAACTGTGACAATAAAACATCAACACATTTATTAACCAGAGATGCTAAGTCAACTTCAAAGCTGTTTAAAGCTGGTGCAAGTCCTAGAAATGACAAACACTGTATAATCTGACCTCTAATTTTATCTTTCTTCTTGAATCTTCGTTTTTTACATTTAATTTTTTCAAGTCCTACTTCACCAGAACCATCACGGTCTTTTTCCTTCTTAGTTCTTCGCTTTTTTTTCTGCCTTTTCTTTTTAAGTTCATTCTCAATCATAGTTTTCTCCTTTTTTGTGTGTGATTCTTTTAAAGTATTTAGTTTACTGAAAGATCCTTTTCTTAGGCCTTTATTAACCTTTTGAATTTTCTTAGTCCTTTTCGTCATTGACAGTGGTAAATTATAAACAGCATGAAGGTTGGACCTACTTCTATTGTTAATAGTAGATAACGGAAAAAGAGGGTTAATACTTTGCTGCATGGTTTCAACATTGTTCCCTATAAAATCATTTTCGGACACCGAGTCTATCTCACTGTCTGAGTTTTCATATATGTGCCTGTGTTGGATTATAGTCTTCAGGGTAGATGTGGTGACAAGATAATTTTGACATACCTGTTGCATTTCTTCCCAAGTATTACAGCGGTTTAATGTGTAGCATCGCATACACTCTAGTACCATCACAAAGTCTTTGAGGAGAGAATATGACACACCTTGAATATGCAAATCTAATATTGGATGTGGAAAATGATAAAGATACTGTGGTCTTCCATCTTCACATATGTGAGCCATAACCTCTGATTCTTCTGAAGGAGTAAAACATTTTATACCACAAAGACAATTCTTGTTTACAGTCTCATTGCTGTTGACCACCCAATCCTGAACTCGAGGTAATGCTTCAAGAAATTCTTCAGAGACAATAGTGTCAACACACTGTGATCTTGTATTTTTTGTTACTATTCGTTTCTTTATGTCTTCTAGCATCTTTAACTTCTTCCAAGTTGGATCTATACTGAAAGCACTTAATATACATTCAAAGGCAATCTCATCTTGTTTTCTTTCAAAAAGTGTACCCAGCTTACTAAACATGCAAGCAATATGGATTTCTAGCTCTAATATTTGATCTGCAAAGCCCTCTGACCTGACAACCTCCAGAAAATTTAAATCTGTTGTCAAACCTCGTACATAGAACTCCAAGTACAATGGTAACATCAACTGCTCATACTGAAAAAAATCAATATACAGCAAGTAAGATTTCCATGTTTATCATAGTTATTACATGCCAAGCATTATTCATAAAATAGTAATATTTCTGAAACTCTAATAAACACTAAGACTCTAGAACTGGATCAAAAACCTTAAAAAGTTTACATTTAGATTGTCATAAAATCAATAACTAAAACTTGTACAATTTTCAAATTTTTGGAAAAACATTTTTTTTTAAAGACTAAAAGATTATTTTAAACCTTTCACATGTTTTTTAATGAAACATAAAATTAGACCATTGAATTCTAGGACATTATTCTTTAAAGTAGAATTCTAACTAAAAATAATAAATAAATATACTGCCACTTAGATTTTCTGTCATAATCAGTAACTCATACGATCATATAAGTCCAATTACTAACTAGTTTATATCGAATGCTTCAGCTGCTAATCTGCTATTGCCATTATGTGGGAAAATCCCAAGAAGGACTATTCTGTTATGGTAGTGACTATCCACTCACCCAGACTCCCACTCTAATACAGGTCTTAAATCAACAAACTATGCTTTCAGGAGAGATATAACTTTGTCAGACTTCTGTATTAGGTTGACTGAGTGTTTTATTTGATAGATCGATGTACAAATATTTTTTTCTTCCTTCACAAAAGAAGCTATCTTCATCCATCCAGTTGATGACACATGTACACCAGCCAATCTACCATAGAAGTCAACAAAACTTGGATACCTATTTTGAAAACACTGATAAAGTTAATTCAAGACACAATAGGGGAAGACCTCAGACTAGTAGATAGCACAACACCCTTGGTAACAAGAAAGCTAAGAATCAAATCCAGTCTCTATTTCCACCAAAATATAGTCCTCTTCAGAACTATATTTGAAGATGGCAGCAGATTAGCAGCCAAACAGTAGAAGAATAGTGAACTACTTGAAAGCACTTGAGTTTTGGATCTCATTTGAAAACCATAATAAAATATAACATATTAACTAATTATTAATTAGATTTTGGTGTAGTATAGGCTGGTAACCATAACAAAGATTGATATTCGATCACTAGAAACATTAATTATTTACCATGTATTAGTAAGAAGCGGTAACACTTTGAATTATTGATTAAATATCACTTTTGTAATAAATTCTAAATGCCTTTTGGAGAAATACCATGATGCATTTAACTCAAAAACATAAGCAGCTATTAGAAATATAAAATTATGAAATGGACTGGGCTGGTGTTCAGCTTGTTTTATCCAATTATTTTAGTTTTAAATTGCCTGCAGAAAATGAAAAAATCATTTTCAACATTTTTTTTAATGACATGATTCAAAAGAAGCATACAGATATAAAATATTTTTATCAAAATACTTAAAAACCTTCAAATCAAGATGTGGTAATTTAAGAAACCCTAGCATTAATTGAAATAGGGATGTTTGCAATTTGGTAACAACTGTAACAACAAAATTTAAATCACAACCCCCACCAGCAAGTAATGAAGGTAACTGCTATAATGGCAATATGAGCATATAATACACCAATACAATGTAGAGTATATTATATTAAATCAATTTGAAATAAGTAAATTAGAAAGTAATGTGATAACCACTGTTGATATAAAATTCCAGTGGACCAGAATGTATCATAACTATATTTTGACATTATCTGTCATTTCATAGATAGTATAATACCACCAAAAATTTATTACTTTTAGAAAGGGTAACAACTCTTTCCAACATAAAATATTCATATACTCTGATCATAAGGATGTGTTCAAAACAAAAAAATCATAATTTTCAAAATGCAAAAATCCCTTTATTTATAGGCACTGGAAAACAAAGAAATATGGTTCAACTTTGGGTAACAGGACCATCCGAAAATAGATTTGCAACAAGTCATACCCCATCACATACCTCAAGCAGTTGGAGAATGAAATGGGTATTCTTGCTATTCCAAAGACATATCACTCACGATGCCAGACAGAGCTCCTATGCATTTCTGTGCAACTAGACTGTTGAAATGGCTGCTGGAAAGCTATCACTGTTACACACTAGCTAGATTATGGGAGACATGCAGGGTTAAGTGGTGTATTTTGGACATGACAGCCTTGTAATGAACTTCTTTGACAATAGAAATTATGCTGCAGTGCTATTGTCCAGATATAGCATTACATGCCATGGTTACATGGACTACAATGACATGGTGAGACTCCAAAATTTTCTTAATATAATATGTCAAACATTCTATGGTATAATGCTAAAGTTAGCAAAACATCAAGCCATTTTTACTAGAAATCATATTAACTCTTTCAGCATGGACCCTGGGACCAACCTCATAACCATTTTGTGCTTGTTAAAGTTTTCATGCAATAACTTTTAAATTAGCAGCAAATGTTAACAAAATTTGGCAGATTATCAATAAACATTACAATGCTTTCATATGAAAAATATCCAATTTTTTTATTAAGTCTTAAAGTTTGTAAAGCAATGTTTTTCTCATGCATTTTTATTCTTTTCACATGTTGCCTATCTATCATGCAAAGTAATTTTCATTTTAAGATTAAAAATATTTTTTTGCATCAGAAAATTGTCAAATTTCACATGCAAAACCTTTATGATGTCCAGATAATTATCAAATGTTTCTTAAAAAAACTTTATAATTTATTTGTTATTTTCAGTAACGAATCTCTGTATGGGTTCGGTAGATTTGACTGATCTCGTAACCACCATAAAAAATTAGGAAATAAATACAAGTTATGCCTCTTTCATTCTAGAATGAATACAAATTATAACACAAAAACATAGACTACATAGCTTAAATCTCATAACATTATTTATTTATTATATTGACCTTTCAGCTGTGCCTAGCTAACAATACAGAAGTTACAATGGCATGGCACATGTGCATTCATGTTACTGTATCCAATAACATAAAACTGACCTTTGGTCTTTACAAAGTAACCTGTCTTGGCTATGTTTTAGTAGACTAGCACTTTGTAAAATACAGTCACATTTCAATTAATATACATTATAGATAGATTATTGCTATTTAGAAATAAGATCTTAAACTTATTTTTCTTAAAAAATAGAACAGTAAATAAAGTAATACAAACAATTATCACTTCTAGTTATGACCTTTGTACTCGGTTGCTGCTTGATGTAGGTTGCTAAGCCTTTAAAAATTTTGGACGTGGAGGATATGAAACAAAATGTTTTTTTCTTCTAGGTTTTATATATACATCTGAATAACCAAAAAATCATAAATTACTATATCGATACCATAGAACTCAATTATCATTTATCAATTTTAGTAACAAGGCTGAATTTGGGTCTAAAAAATATGAAATTTCAAGCAGACTAAAGACTTGACTTACCTCTATAAAGATATAACAAATTTATATTTGAAAATGACTGAGAAAGCCACTAGGGGGACATTCTGAGCTCTCAATTGGTTATTCATGTCATATATAGAAGTAAGTGTATATAAGAAAGTATTTCCAAAAATGGAAAGAGGTGGGCAGGGTACCACTGTATTTGATTTATTAAATGAGCAATATCTAAGCAAATAGAAAAGATAAGGCTTTTTATTTTATATTCTAGCTTGTCAATAT